TCCTTCTTTCCTCCTTAAAGCAAGAAATAACCTTGAACTCCCCAAGTTTCAAACAGTGGCAGTGTCTCAGCCCTGGGTGGTGGGTTGCTGCTTGGCTGGGGTTTTTCACCAAAATATTTTTAGTATGTGGGTTAACGTAACAAAATGCCCAAAAGCTTTTCATCTCCTGGGAAGAATATAATTCATAATGGTCAGGGAAGGTGTAAATAAAAACACAAGGCCAAACAAAGCTTCTGCCCAGATGCTGCCACTACTTTGTCTCTGGGCCAGGTAAAGGTCTGTCCTACAGGAGATGCAGTGCATGGTGCTTGGTTGGGAAAGGAGAACGGCTGGCTTGTGGCCATACCCTCTGTGCTGCAGGTTTTGCTACCTGCCAGAGATGGACACCAAATGCAGCAGTGGCTGCCCTGACTCAATTGCATCCCCCTGAATGCTTTTGCTCCTGTGTGGGGAAGCCTGCCCTGCAGCTGCTGGCCTTACTGGTACCCCAAGCCGCCTCTGGAAATTTTGGCCAAGCAAGATGTAGATGAAGGGGTTCAGACAACTGTTGGCATAACCCAGGCTGATAGCCACGTTGTAGGCATAGTAGAAAGGCAGGGTGGGGCGAGTCATGGCGAGCTGGGCCAGTTGCAGGATGTGGAAAGGTGCCCAGCAAACGAAGAAGGTCATGCAAATAGCAATTGCCATACGAGTCAGTTTTTTTGTTCGTGCCCCGGTGAATCTTCGGCTCATCAGCACTTCTGAGCACCTGGCCATCTTGAGCAGGATCCTCCTGTAGGCTACTGTGATGAGGGCAAAAGGGATGGTGAAGACCAGGAAGAATTGGTAGAGAGTGTACCAATAAATGTCCCTCTGGGGGTCTGGCAGGCGAATCCCACAGCCTAGTAGACCTCCAGGCAAAGGGATGAGCTGAGCGTACATCCACACAGGTGTAATGCTGAGGAAGGAAAGGGCCCAGAGCACACAGATGATGAGGACTGCCACAGGGCGCTTCCTGAAGCGAGAGGAGGTGAAGGGGTGGACGGTGGCCAGGTAGCGGTCGATGGACATAGCAGTGAGGATGTAGGTGCTGGTGAACTGGCTGTTGGCATCCAGGGCAGTGATGATTGTGCACATTGTCCCCCCAAAGTGCCAGGCTCCATTCCCCAGCAGCTGGTGGATGAGGAAGGGCATGCCCAGGAGGAAGAACAGGTCCACTGTGGAGAGGCTGATGATGAAGATATCTGGGACACTACAGCTAGGGCCAGATTTCTTTAAGACAGTGCAGATAACCAGGCTGTTACCGACAATGCCCAACAGGCAGATAATGCCAAACAGGGTGGGCATGATGAAGCTGCCATAGCTCATCCTGCCGGGGTCACCTGCAGAGACAAGTGTAGGCAGGAAAGAGTCAGCTGTGCCAAGGACCAGCGGTGAGGACATGCCTCCGGCTTCTCATGGACAGTGAGTGCTCTGAATGCAAACAATAGCCGATTTCTCAAGCACATGTAAGATGAGGAAGGGCTTTTTGCATGCAGTAGTGTCTAACCACACACAGGCACTTTCTCAGCAGCTTTCACAAATGTATACATTAAAGCATGTGTCTAATCAAATGTGCATACACCTGCTCTTCCCTTCATGTGTATGAACACAAACACATATTAACAACAGAATGAAAGAGCACCAGTGTGTGTATCATTCCATATATGTGCATGGAGACCCTTTCAAATGCACACATATATAATGAATATATGTTTCAATAGATATATTAATATCTGATACATATGTTGCTCAACAGTATGGATATTAATACTCATATTCAGGCTTTATTCAAAACCATCTCACGTAAGTGATTTTTTTTCTCACCCCCCTGCCTACACCTATTACAGTTTATACACTAATGTATATTTTCACTTACCTGTTTATTGTACTTACCAGGCAGAGGAAAGTTTTGAGCAGCCTTGGAGCTGTTGGGGATGCAGCTGGTCAAGCTCTTGGTGTGATTTGTTTCAAAATCCATCCTTCAGGAAAAACTAGTCCCCATCAGCAGCTTGAAGATGTTAGTGTTTCCTGTTGAAAGAATAAGGGTTGTCGATCCCGTGGAGATCTGTGGGGCTGCTCAGAAAGCCACTGCTCTCAGCATCAGCAGAGGCTGTTAAAGCAGGTTTAAAAGCGGCTCCTGCTCCCTGCACCACCACCAGGCAGAAGTGACACCGAGGTGTAAGGAGGCAACGCCTGTCCCCAGGCTGGCAGCAGAGTGCTGGAAATACACTTGCAGGGAGAGCAGAATTTCATTTTGGTGCTGGAGGCAGTGAATCAGGATCCACTGATGAACAAAGCAAAGAACTTGCACTCTGGAGAGGCAAATGGGACCTGGCAGTAAATAAAATCTGCTAATTAAAGTGATGGGTAGCCAGCACTGAGAGCATGTTTTGCTTTTAGGGTCTAATTGAGTGTAAGTATCTCAATACAATTCTGCAAACAATCATCTTAACCTAAAGTCAAGTTTGCAGCAAGATTTGCAAGTGTAGATTGGGGTCAATATCTTTAGATTCTGAAGCAGTATCGTCTTAAAATGAAAAGGTATGAGCTGCCTGAGGAAGTGTGTGGAAATCTGGTATTTTCTGGCTATGCCTGATAAGTTGCAACATGATAAACAGCATTATTAGTTCCCTCCTGCAACGTACTTTCTCCATTTCAATTCCTTTTGAGGTCTCAAGCGCAGTAATAAAGAGTTATATATGTTTCATTCTAGGCAGACAATAGAAGAGAATAGGAGATAAACAAGGGATTTATTTTCATGGTGTGTTTGACATTACAGTAGTTAGGTACGTAAAACAGGCAAAACACTGGAAACATTAAATGAATGAGGTGGTGAGTGTGTTGTAATGAAGTTGCACTAATCTCTGCCTTATTTCCCTTACAACCATTAGTCTGCTCTTAGCAGCCAGGAAACTCCTAGATTGAAGGCATTAGTGCCTAAGAAAAGTAAGATTTGGAAAGTAAGATTGGACTGAAACTGTATCCTGATGATGGGGGCTGGTGGTCTGGTGAAAGGCAGGAAGGATTCTGTAATCACTAGAATGCCATTTCAAGGCTGACTTTTGGCTAGCCTGAAGGGTTTCTAGCACTTAGGCATAGTTATTTCAGTACATCACAGCTCTTAAGCATTTCAAGATGTCCATTTACACAAGGGATAATATATTCCATTTACTAGCCAATGCAAAATGTCTCCTTCACCCCAATGCCCCCAGCATACTACCTAGTTGGAGTCTCTTCATTTGCAAACACCACTATCTTTCAGTTTTCTGCAGTCCCGTGAATGCACTGGGGAATTTGCTTTTAGGTTGCATCACCTACAGCTGTGATGTGCATCACTAGGCAGCACCACACTGTAGTTAAGAACAGCATTTTATTTTTCTCCCCACTGAACTCACCTGCTGTAACTGACAGCAGCTGCAATTTTGATCCTGAAGTGGGGATAGCAGCAATGTAAAAAAAAAAAAAAGTACATATATTCATGTTAAATCTTTGCTCCAGCTTTTAAATGGATTTCTCAAGGCTGTATGTCATGTAAACAGTATTACAGCACTAGATTTTCTTACAAGGAGAGAAAGTACTTTTCCTGGGGTTTTTGGTGGGTTTTTTCCCCCCTTCCTACCACTTGTATACTACTATCAACTGGAAGTTAAAAAAAATAAATCTGGTTGGGATAAAGCTTTGAAGCACCTAAGAAACCAAACATTTTTATCTTAGTAAATTATGAAAGAAATCTCCTGTTATAGTCTCGTTTCTGTAAATCCTTCACGTTTAACTAGTAAATACCAAAGCCCCTTCTGAACTGGCATCAGGTCCTACAGACAGTAACACAGAGTAGGGCTAAGGATGGTTTCACTCTACTGGGGCCAGCTTATCACTACAGCTAAAAATGTTACCACTAATACTCTGTGGAACACATTATGGCCCAAACAGCATGTTGGTTCATGCAAAACTGGAGTATCACACTAATTTACTCCTTAGGATTCTGCATTTCCTTCACTGGCATGAGAAGGGGAGTAATCTCATGTAATACAATCTGTCTGCGGTTTGTAGCTCAGCAATACCAGCCAGCTAAAATACTTTAATTGTGGAGAAAGATTCACCTCCAAATGTAGCCTTCCTAGAAGCAGATCCGAACACTTGTTTTTACTGTAGAATAAACAGAATAACAAGACAACATGGTTAAACAAACAGCACTTTATTAAACTAATATAGTTAGATACTTTATTAATGCTTAGAAATATTAAAGCATTTGCAAAAATGAAGAAAGTTTAAATAATATACAAGGAGTTACAACAGAGAAACAAACCAGGCTATTTAAATACCTAAACAAACATGACAAAATGCAAGACCTAGTTGCATACCATTGATGGGCTGAGGCAGTGAGAACAAGCAAAATATCCCTTCAGAATACTGCAACATCTAAAGGTATATAAAAAGCTTATCCCATAACTTATGATAAAACCCAATTTTCCTCTTATAATAAATATAAAGCATTAGCATGGTATGCTCGGACTATTTTAACAAAGGCTGTTAAGGCTTAAAAATATTTTTTAACATTCAAAAAACATTTCTGGTGTTCTGATCTTTGACACTTATGTATCAAAATGACCAACTGCTGCATACAGATTTCAACCAATAGTACATCCAGAACTCCAGTACCAAATGGGAAGTCAAACACCTACCTACCCTTTCTTTCACCTAATTGTCACCGACTTAACAGTAGCTGTTATTATTACATCCCTTTACCAAATGCTGTGAAACATTCCATTATGCACACAGACTTAATATTGCAATGCACTGCTGCTTAATCGTTATTCTTAGTATTAGTTTTACAGTGACAATGTAAGATGCACATTGATTTTTTTTTTCAGTTCCCATAAGGAGGGCACAAAGGTTGAATGCTAAACAAGTAAACAATTACATTGCAAAGGTCAGAGTAGTACAGTAAGTGCCTACAAAGGAAGTGGGGAGAAACCCGCTTATTCATTCTTTCCATTATTGGCAGAAAGATCCAAGACAGAAGGACTCTTCTGTGGCAAACTTCCATTAACTTCTTGCTTCATCTGACCCCTGTATACAGGAGAAAAGAATGGGTTTACAATCTATTCTTCCCCAAGATTACTGTCTTTTAATGTTTTTGCTCAAAAAAGCTGAGCTGAGCAGCTCAAAAAAGGTGAGACTCCTGGAATATCTGTGGCTGGTCTACCAGAGCTTTTCTCAAAACACATAGGAACACAGAAAGAGCAGATGTTACCTGTTTTAACACCAAAGCTGTAAGTCAATGTGACTGGTCTGTAGGTTGGATTGTGTATTCAGATATGCTATGGAAAAAAAAAAAAAGTCATCTTTTCTGGAATCAGTGGGCAACGTTATGGACATGGCAGCACACCCTGGAACAAACGCAAGCACGTGGGGCCTCACACCATGGTCACCCTGATGGCATCATGGGCTTGACAGGCAGTTTTTTGTGTCCTTGAGAGCTCTGCAAGAAGCACAGATGTGATGAAGGGACAAACCGAGGAAGTCCAGGAGGGAGCAGCCGTCATTTTTTCCTTTCTCTTCCCAATGCTTAAGGAGCGATTACCACTATTCATCCCTGGTAGATATTTAAGCGGGCAATAGGTGGCACTCCAGCACAACCTGCTTTGCCTCTGACTCCCAGCCAGATGGAAGAATCACAGGATTGCTTTGGTTGGAAAAGACCTTTGGTAAAAGCATGGCTAAGGTGATGCTGACTGAAATGGGCCTCCAAGCCTCAAGTATCACCGGGAGACGTGACTGGTAGGCAGCTCACGTGCAGCATCCAGCAAAACCTGTAATTTCTATTGTGGCCACACTGTCCCTTTTAAGGACCCCTCTGCCTATCCCAAATCTACAACTAATTTTGGTCCATTACAAATGCAGGTAAGCAGAGATGGCTGGGTCATCATGCGGAAAGAACTGCAAAAGGTTCATCCTCTAAGCACAGTCTAATTTGGACTATGCTTTAACGACATTTGAAGCAACAAATATTCTGAGTGAGACAACGTTATATTTTATTGCTTGATGTCATGTTAGCACATGCACATTTAAAGACTATTTACATTTCCTCTTTCCTAAATAGGAAAGAGGAAATGTATTAACTCCCATTAAAATATATACTGACGACTAGACATTTATATGCTGCACATTAAGCCACCAGGGTAGCCAGAGATGCTCTAGCATTCAAGAAACATTTGTTAAACTAAGCAACAGTGGCTCACTTAGAATAAATGAAGCAATCAATGCAATAGCACAGTTGCAGAGTTCGAAATCCAAGTGTGGGTCAAGACATCAATACTCACCTTGAAGCATACCAGTAGTTGACCAGCGATGAAAGAACGATGTAACAAACACTCAGTACTCCAGAAACTCCCAGTGAAAGCGCACCCAGGCCACACAGCACACAAAGGAGGGCTATGCCACCTACGGCTATTACAACACCTAATAAAAGAAAATCAGTTTGTGATTTAAACAAGTTTATATACAAGTAAATTAGAAAAGCTGACATTGTATCACAATCCCAAATTCAAACCATTTGGGAAAACAGTCTGCAATCAACTAGCTAGCCGCTATAAAAGCTAGGCATGGTCAAGATAACTGGTTTAGGCAGATCCTGGTAGCTGGGATTAGAAAGGGAAACAGAATTTCCCCTGTACAGACTACAGTTAATCAGATTACCATTCTTGCATTAAGAGTTTCGCTACTGCTGAGACCTGAGAACTCCACACAGAAATCCTCAATTGCTTGAACTGGAAACTCCAGAAGGAAGAAGAAAAAAAAGGAAGAGATGTCATGCCTTAAAAGGGAATAAGTAAGTACATGCATGCATGCATGCGTACAATACCTTCCATAACTATCACACCGATACAGGCCATTATGGCTGTTGTAACAACAAAAATCAGGAAAAATGCAACGGGAATAGCAGACACTGCAATAAACATCAGGAGTGACAAGGCAACAAAAGGGTGGTCATCTAAATACTGGCCAACACGAGAATTCATAAATGCAACGACCTGTGGATGAAAGAAAAACATTTCAGATTTTGCTTTTATCTCTTCTTGTAGATAACTTTTAAAGGTCAAGTCTGCAGCTGGAACAGAGGGCAGCTGTTGCCTCTATATTTCAAAAGCATGAGGACTTATCACAAATTTAGATAACTGCATAGCAAATATAATTCTACCAACAACAGACATGTTTTTCTTGGATTTCCCAGTTCCATTCTTACACAAATTTAAAAACAAACCCAAAACCCTGAAAACAAGTAAAAAACCAATCACAGTTTAGCTGCATGGATTTCAGTGGGGTCTCAATAGCTATGATTCTGATCTAGAGAATCTAGAGAATCTTAACTGCATTTGTTAAGAAAAAAAATGCTCTAACATTTAAAAATTACGATGACTTTTCTTTTTTTCCATGCCTCAGTAATATCTGCAACCTGCTCATTTACTGAGCATAAGTACAGTGCAGGCATATCTGTATCAGTAAGTTGTCAGGAATTTAATTATAATGTTACTGGTAGGAAAAAAAATAATAATTCTTTTTACAGAGGCAGTCATACCTACAGACTGGAATTTTACTGTAGTAGAGAAATTTCCCTTCCCTTAAGGAAATATGTATTGTAGTTTTAGTTCTTTTTATAGCAGCACAACCATTTCACTAAAATGCCATTCTACTATCTCAAATGGTTATAGCAGTAAAACACAGAAATGCAGAACAGGCTTCCCTTTTTCTTGATTGCTGAAGGTGTGGGAGGACAGCCCTTCCTATAGGCTCCTCAGTGTTCACTTAAAAAAGAGAGTGCCAATTTTCTCAAAAAAAAAAAAAGTTTTGAAGTTGCATTTAAATAAATTGGGGTGTGATATTCCAAGAGTTATGAAAGGAGTATCTTTCTAAATATATAAAATTATAATCCAGACCCACATTTGAGTTGCTGTGGATGGACTGCACCACGGAGTGCCACTGCTTCTGTAGCTCTTGCATTTCTTTAGACATGTTGTAATCCTCAGCCACGATCTTGGATTTTCTGAACAACCAACCAGTTCTCACTCAGCCATCCAATTTTTCCTTAAAATTAAGATACAATTAGTAACAGGCTCATGCAAATGTTTTGAGAAAATGAAAATATTTCTTTTGCAAAAAACAGAGGATGTGGATTTGATTTTAATGTGATCCAGAGTCTGAACCATGACTCTTAACAGAAATACACCTCATATAGAGGGCTGGTGCCTGAAAACTCTTCTGAACCTCCCAAAGCCAAGTATCAAGATACAAAGTGACTCTCACCTCCTTCCTTTATAGCATTAACCCTGTATTAAACCATGAGGGTGTTGAATTACGAGTAAAAAGGTCAATTCTAACTACTGGCATGGACAATTTATAGCTACTGGGGCTGGAAACTTGTAACAGTTTAATGAGACTTGTTTTTGTGAATAGCCTCATGTTCAGATGTAAAACCATACCCTGTACAGCTTCAAAATGCTGCATATAAAGGCAAAATGCTTTCAAACCCTCTAATTGTGACAGTTTAAAGACAACATCCGCTCAAAAATCTCCGTTCCCCCACAAAAATTTAATCTGTTGTTGCTAGGGAGACCCTTACCAGGGGAAGAGTAAAAGATGCAGTTTCCTGCTTGTAAATCTAAATAGTCACCGTGTCAATATTACTATTTTATACTCGGCCTAGATACACAATCCCTCCCTTTGTTGACACAGTATCTTCATACAGCAGCGTCTGACTTTGGTTCCTAGCAGCCCTGGCGAGGACGCGGACCGGGGGTCCACCTCCCC